GTCAAGAGATCGAGACCATCCTGGTCAACATGGTGAAACCCCGTCTCTACTAAAAATACAAAAAATTAGCTGGGCATGGTGGCACGTGCCTGTAATCCCAGCTACTAAGGAGGCTGAGGCAGGAGAATTGCCTGAACCCAGGAGGCGGAGGTTGCAGTGAGCCGAGATCGCGCCATTGCACTCCATCCTGTGTAACAAAAGCGAAACTCCGTCTCAAAAAAAAAATAAATAAAAAATAAAATAAAATTCACACAGAAATGCAAAGGACCTAGGATTGATCATTGTTGAAGGTAGAGGACAAATACATCACTTGTATTTTGTTACATTATTCTACTTTGTAAATGTTTGAAATTTTCCACAGTGAAGATATGTTTTGAATAAAAACTGAGATGCTTCTAGGAACACATATAAATACAAAATATCCTTCCTTTAAAGTTTTCACTACATTACAAAAATGGTTTCTTTTTTCACACTACCTTAAGTCTAACTCCCTGGCTTGGTTTCCCAGACCCTCTAACCGGTCCTCTCTGCTTCCTGTTCCTCTATGACAGGGGTCAACAAACCACAATCCAGGGCCAAATCTGCCCCATCACTTGTCTTTGTCTGGCTCACAAACTAAGAATGTTTTGTACTTTTAAAGGGCTGGGGGAAAAAAATCAAAAGGCTATTTTGGGCTGGACCCAGTGGCTCATGCCTGTAATCCCAACACTTTGGGTCCAGAAGTTCAGGAATTCAAGATGAGTCTGACCAACATGGTGAAACCCAATCTCTACAAAAAATACAAAAATTAGCCGGGCGTGGTTGCGTCCGCCTGCAGTCCCAGCTACTTGTGGCTGAGGTGGGAGGAGCACTTGAGCCTGGGAAGTCAAGGCTGCAGTGAGCTGTGATCATGCCACTGCCTTCCAGCCTGAGCCAAAGAGGAACACTGTCTCAAAAATAAATAAATATATATTTTTTATTTAAACATAGTCACATTCATTCATTTCTGTAGTCTCTGTGGTTACTTTTGCACTACAATGATGGAATTGATTAGTTGCAACAGAGACCTTAAGGTCTTCAATGTCTAAAATATTTATTATCTGACCCTTTACAGACAAGTCTGTCAATCTCTACTTTATCATATGCCTCCTCCCTCAGCTAATTTCCTTACCCCACGAATGTTCACTACTACTTCTCTGTTCAAGCCCCAGCTGCTCCTGGAAACCCGAAATTCCCTTCTTTCCCTTTTCCAAATCCTAACCGTTATCAGCAGTTTGTGTGGAAGCAGGTAAGCAAAACACTATTTGTTATTATGTAAAGGAAGGCAATGAAGTTGCTGTCCCTGTAATATGTACAGGGAGGCTGATGACTCTTTGATTCATTTTCAATTTCTCAAAGCAGGTTGGCAGGCTAGCACCTAGGAAGAAGAGAGTGAGCACATGACACAGATAGAGCACTGAGAAATTCCTCAGAACACTAGAGTTAATGTGTCAGTCCCCCTGTCTGCTATGTCATCCTTTAGATACCAATTCAAGATAGCATAATTCAAAAAAGAAATGAGGAAGAAAAAGGTGATGAGGGGCAGAAGGAAAAAAGAACTTGTCACTTCACAATGTAGAGACTGTCACAAACTGTGGTTAATGTAAAACTATGGCCCAGTGTAGCAGTTCACACCTGTAATTCCAGCACTTTGGGAGGCAGAGGTAGGTGGATCACTTGCAGTCAGGAGTTCGAGACCAGCCTGGCCAACATGGTGAAACACTATCTCTACTAAAAATACAAATTTAGCTGGGCGTGGTGGCACATACCTATAATCTCAGCTACTTGGGAGTCTGAGACATGGAAATCGCTTGAACCCGGGAGGCAGAGGTTGCACTGAACCGAGATCATGCCACTACACTACAGCCTCCCTACAGCCTGGGCGACAGACTGAGACTTCACCTCCAAAAAAGAAAAAAAAAAGAAAACTATAGAGACTAGCAAGGTGGTCCCCCATCATTGGGAGGCCCAAGCGGAACAGCCTATGAAGGAGGGAGCATAGCAGAGCCTTAGCTTCAACACCTCAACTCATCAGATGTCCTGACTTCCTGAGTGAGCACACAAAATGAAGTGGTGAAATCTGCTGGGCTTAACACTCAGGGATTACTACCATCCTTGCATGCCACTTCGAAACAAATATTTTTGTTTTGAGACAGGGTTTCACTCTGCCATCTAGGTTGGAGTGCAGTGGTGCAATCACAACTCACTGCAGCCTCAATCTCCCAGACTCAAGTGATCCTCCCACCTCAGCCTCCCAAGTAGCTGGGATCATAGGCAAGTGCCACCAGGCCCAGCTAATTTTTTTTATTTTTATTTTTAGTAGAGACGAGGTCTAACTATGTTGCCTGGGATGGTCTTGAACTCCTGGGCTCAAGTAATCCTCCCTCTTTGGCCTCCCAAAGTGCTGGGATTACAGATGCGAGCCACTGTACACAGCCAGGAAACAGAAACAAATATTAAAGTAATAAGAATGTGAAAGTAATCTCTGTAACTAAAGTCCCAAATAGGAAACCCTGAGCTTTTGGGGGATACTTAATTTTCTTCATCTCCTCCAACTAAAAGTGGCAAATGAGGCTAGGCACTGTGGTTTTTGCCTATAATCCCAGCACTTTGGGAGGCCAAGGTCAGTAGTTTGAAACCAGCCTGGTCAACATGGTGAAACCCCCGTCTCTACTAAAAATATGAAAATTAGCTGGGTGTGGTAGCACGTGCCTGTACTCCCAGCTACTCAGGAGGCTGAGGCAGGAGAATCACTTGAATCTAGGAGGCAGATGCTGCAGTGAGCTAAGATCATGCCACTGCACTCCAGTTTGGGCAACAGAGTGAGACTCCATCTCAAAAAATAAATAAAGTGGCAAACGAACGAGGAAGCAGGTTTAGGAAGTGTGTAGATGCCTCAAAGGTCAGCATTTGATCTTACTGCCTATGAGTTCCCAGTAAGAGCAGAACATGTGAAAGGACTTTGAGGCACAAAAATACAGTTGGATAGTCCTAGGCAGGCGAGAGGAAAGTTGAGTAAATGTGTGTCTAAAACATGCATTTCTAGGCTGGCCACAGTGGCTTACACCTATAATCCTAGCACTTTAGGAGACCAAGGCAGGAGGATCACTGAAGCCCAGGAATGTGAGATGAGCTTGGGCAACATAGTGAGACCCTGTCCCTACAAAAATAAAAATTAGCTGTGGTAACGAGCACCTGTAGTCCCAACTACTCAGGATGCTGGGGGGTGGGGGGAATCACTGGAGACCAGGAGGTGGAGGCTGCGGTGAGCTACAACTGCACCATTGCTGCACTCCAGCCTGGGCAACAGAGCAAGACCTGTTTCTAAAATAATATAAATAATAACAATAAATGTACATTTCTAACTTAATTTCAAAGGTAAGGCCAGGCACAGTGGCTCATGCCTGTAATTCCAGCATTTGGAAGGCCAGCCTGTGGAGAATAGTGGGACCCTGTCTCTATAAAAATAAAAGTAAATAAATAAATAAAATAAATAAACGAAGTCAATTTTTTTTTTTTAATCTGAACAAAAACGTTTAACTACACTACTTCTAGGGCCAACAGAGTAGGGGTCAGCACGGGCACAACCAGGTTGCATATCTACATACAATCTGCCCTTGTAGGAAGGACATCCTTTTTCCTCCTGGCATAACCACTCTAGGTGACCCACATTATTACAAATTATTAGCATCAACAATTTAAAGCAGGTTTTACTGTAAGGCACAATCTCAATAATTAATAGGGCAATATAATAAACACATAAAAGCTCAGGAAGAAACCAGACTCTTGCATGGGCCTGGAAGTTTGGCCATGTCCCCCAAAGTACTCTTAGTTGCATCCATCAGAACCTTTCAACACATAAACATACACCTGGCTCATCCTTTTGTGAAGAGTGTTTATTACTTAATCACTAGATTAAGAGGATTTGGATACAATTGATAAATGTACAAACTTTGCTACCAAGGACTGACACATTTACTTTTCCAGCTCATCAGTTTATGTCCTAGGAAAACTCCAGAGCCACATTTACCAGCTGTTTTCTATTTTCCACTTTAGGATGGTGTTTCTCTTTCACCTGCAAAGTGACTGATACTAATACCGACTACAATAATTTAAGTAACACCATTTAGAGTCATTTCGTCTTTAGTACCTTATTTACACTACTAAGAAAGTTGCCAATGATTCAAATTGCACTCACTGGTGAAACCCTATACTATATGTAATTAACTTATTTCCTAATATCTTATCTCCTTCCACCCTCTCCACTGGAAAGTAAACTCTAAAAATGCAAGAATTTTGTGTCTTTTTGTTCAATGACTAGAGCAGTGTCTGGTTCGTAACAGTCACTTAGTATCTGCTAATTCTGATGAATGAACAGTATATTCATATTGTGCAATATTACCACGAAGCCATTAAACACAGTGAGTGATACCAGATAATTTAATGGAATTTCCAGAAGTATGAAGTTAAGAAAACAAGAAAAGTGTCAAAACTATAATCCCACTTTTTTTTTTTTTCCCCTCCGATATGAAGTCCTGCTCTGTCACCCAAGCTGTAGTATAGTGGTGTCATCATGGCTCACTGCAACCTCAAACTTCTGGGCTCAGGAAATCTTTCCACCTCAGCAAGTAGCTGGGACTATGCCAGCTAATGCCCAGCTAATATTTTAAAAATTATTTTTTGTAGCCAGGCATAGTGGCTCACGCCTGTAATCCCAGAACTTTGGGAGGCCGAGCTGGGCAGATCACCTGAGGTCAGGAGTTCAAGACCAACCTGGCCAACATGGTGAAACCCCACCTCTACTGAAAATACAAAAATTAGCCAGGCATGGTGGCATGCGCCTGTAATCTCAGCTATTTGGGAGGCTGAGGCAGGTGAATCACTAGAACCCAGGAGGCGGAGGCTCTAGTGAGTCGAGATTGCGCCACTGCACTCCAGCCTGGGCTACAGAGCAAGACTCTGTCTGAAAAAAAATTGTTTTGTAGAGACGGTCTCTCCATGTTGCCCAGGCTGGTCTTGAATTACTGGGCTCAAATGAATCTCCCAACTAAGCTTCCCAAAGTGTTGGGATTACAGGTGTGAGCCACCATGCCCACTTTTTAAAAAGTATGCCCCAAAATCCATACATTGGTGAGGAAGTTGAGAACCTGGAATCCTCATATACAGAATGTAAAATGGTACAGCTCTGGAAAACATTTTAGCAGTTACTCAAAATGTTTCACATAGCTACTACAAGGCCTAGCAATTCAACTCCTAGGTACATACCTAAGACAACTGAAAGCATGTGTCCACACAAAAATTTGAAGAGGAACCGTACACACTTGTTCACAGTAGCATTATTCATAATAGCCCAAAGTGACAAAAACACAAATCTTCATCAAGTGATGAACAAAAAAGTATGAACTATCGTTCAGCCACATAAGAAATGAAGTACTCCAAATTTCAGCAGCAGGCGCCTCTCTCGCCTCCGGAACAGGACTTATAAAAGGAACTATGTCTGGAAGGCTGTGGTCCAAGGCTATTTTTGCCGGCTATAAGCAGGGTCTTTGGAACTAAAGGGAGCACACAGCTCTTCTTAAAATTGAAGGTGTTTATGCCCAAGATGAAACAGAATTCTATTTGGGCAAGAGATGTGCTTATGTATACAAAGCAAAGAACAACACAGTGACTCCTGGTGGCAAACCAAACAAAACCAGAGTAATCTGGGGAAAGGTAACTCGGGCCCACGGAAACAGTGGCATGGTTCGTGCCAAATTCTGAAGCAACCTTCCTGCTAAGGCCATTGGACACAGAATCCGAGTGATGCTGTACCCCTCAAGGATTTAGAACTAATGAAAAGTCAATAAATAAATGTGGATATGTGCTCTTGTATTTTTAAGTGGATTAAAAAACTTACTATGTTAAAAAAAAAAAAAAAGAAATGAAGTACTAATACATGCTACAACAGCGATAGATCTTGCTAACATTTTGATAAATGAAAAAAAGTCAGACAAAAGGTCACATGTTGTATGATTCCACTTACATAAAATATCCAGAATAGGCAAATGCATAGAGACACAAAGATTAGTGACTGCCCGGAGCAGGAGGCAGTGGTGAATGTGAAATGACTACTGAGTATAGATTTCTTTTTGAGGTATCGAAAACGTTCTGGAATCAGATAGTGGTGATCAGTGCATAACTTTGTGAATATA